GGGCCACCTGGCAGAGAAAAGTTTGGGGGGCAGGGGCAGGCACTCGCTCGAGCTATCCCCGCTATCTGGACACGACGCGTGGAGCGTCCACACCCCTGGCGGCCTCCTTTCGGGGCGCGCATCTGCCGCGCGTGCTATTTCGCGGTGAGCACTGGGCCGCCAGCAAAGAAAAGGCATAGGGGGGACAGAAGCAGGCACACCGCCCGAGGCGCCCCCACATGGTGGGCGCGGCTGTGGGAGTGCCCTTGCCCCTGGCGGCTACCCCACTGGGGCGCCCGAGCGCCGCGCCTGCTCTGCCGTGGCGAGCACTGGGCTGCAAGAACCGGAAGAGGCTGGGGAGGAGCAGCAGGCACACCGCTTGAGACATCCCAGCAATGCGGGCGCGACTGTTAGAGCGTCATCGCTCCTTGCGGCCACCCCCTTGGGGCGCCCCAGCGCCGCGTTTGCGAAACCGCGGCGCGCATTGGACCACAGACAGAGATGTCTGCGGGGGGGGGGGGGCACGAGAGAGGGTTCCGTTTAGCGAAGCTATGTTGTTACGCTTTTTATGGCACCGAAGGCGGACGTGCGATGACTATGATATTGAGAATTTCCGGATGCGAGACGGCCAGTAAGAACACGCGCGTGCACGTTGTGAAGGAGCTGTGGCACCTCAGCAACAAAGAGGGAGGAGTGGAGGTTGTATCTCCGTTCCTTGGAACGTGATATTCCGTTGCGTTGTTCGCGTCGCGCTGGTGTTCTTGGATCTGGAATTTGCTGCATCTCAATCATGCGATCTTGCAATTGTCTAATGCGAATTGATTACGAACATGTTAGGGCCAGGTGGAATACAGTACGTTGCAAGCCAGAGGTCGGAACACCAGCTTCATGCATTCAGCCTTGCCAAGAAACCGTGCCAAGGGCAGCAAAGGATACGCGCACGCGGGGGGAGTCTCATACGCATGCTCCTCGGAGGAGTGAGCGGGGCGTTCATTGCCAGCGCAGCCGCGCAGTCAGACAACGATTGCCAGCCGATGAGCTGAGAAGAAAGCTGACCACGGTTGGTGAGGGCACCGGCTCAAGAGACGTCGCGCCGCTGCGCGCAGCTGGTCCCGCCGTGGAGAGGTGGTGTTACCAGCCTCGAACGTATCCCTATCCCTAAGATTGACACGCCAAAAGGCGATGACAATCTTAGGGATTCGCCCTCAAAAAATAAGGGAATCCCCAAGATTGGCATCGTGATGAGGAGGTGCCCAGCATAGGGATAGGGATATGTTCCAGGCTGGTAGTGGTGGAGCCGAGAGTTGAAGCGGGGGCCACAGTGAATAGATGGCAGGTTGGTGCCGTGAAGGTGCATAAGCCGCCGCGCCGTTTGTTCCGACGCGCGGCTCTACTTGGGCGTGTTCAAACGAAGCGGCGCGGCGACATATTCCTCATTTGGCCATCGGAGCATCCGTTTTCGGGGCTTCTGCGAGACCCCAGCTGGTCGAAACCTTGAGCAACGAGCGTGGGCATGACATGGGAAGCTCGCCAGTCGAGAGTCCCCCCCCCTGTTGAGAAATGCAGTATCCTTGCGCGGGAATGGGCTACTCCTCCTCATGATGTCATGATGCTTTCGGGCTGTCTTGGCCTCAGCCTGGAGCCTTCCGAAGCCCGCGATGTGGGGGTTTACCCTGGGGTGGAGGGAGAACGGTTTAGCTTTTGCCACCTTCTCCAGATCTTCTCCTCTTTCGCCTCGCCAGAGTAAGGCCCCAGAACGTGTTTCTCTTCCTTGAGCTGGACTGGAGGCTGGGTAGTCTTCGAGGCTGCTTGGGCCCGTCTTGGGGCCCTCGCGGGCCCGAAAAAGTCACGCGAGGGCTCGCGACAATCCCCGATAGGTTGCGGAAATGTGGGCCCGGGCCCCCATTTGACTTTTCAGAACCGAGGACTGAGGCTCAGGGGATCGGGCAGAGGACCCGAAGACGCTCCCACTCTGTGACCAGCGGCACGGTGGCGGATTCCTCCACGTGGTCCTTGCTAGCCTGTCTTCGCACCCTGTGGCACTCTTGATCTTGAGATCTAGGCCTCTTAGATGGGGTCGGAGTCGATGGGGTCAGAGGATCGCTCCGCATCCCCGATGCATCGACGGTGCGGCTCGATGTGGATCCCGTGTTTCCCCACGCCGACGTCGCCGTTGCATCGCCGACGTCGCCAATGTATCGCCGGTGCATCGCCGATACATCGCCGATGTATCAGCGATGTGGCGCGATCCTCCGACCCCATCTACTCGGACCGCATCGAGGAGGCCTCTATAAGAGGTGCCTCGTTGTCGAGTTGCGCCTCCTCTTCCTGGGGCAGTCGCGGTTCTGCCCCTCCTAATGACGGGACCGCGAGAAGGAAACAATTGCGGCATGCACGTAACAAGTTTATAGCGGGGGAGAGGGGCGAACAGGGGGCACGGGGCAGCAGAAGAGAAAAGAGGGGGGAGGGAGAGAAAGAGCGAGAGAGATTGATATAGAGAGAGAGAGGGAGACAGAGAGAGAGAGGGATAGAGAAAGAGAGAGAGAGAGAGAGAGAGAGAGAGAGCAGCCCGTGAGCCAGGCGGCGGCGGCGGCGGCGGCGGCGGAGGGTAGCCCTCTTCCCCTCCCTCCCCCTTCCTTCTCCCGTGTGCGTTGCTTTGAAAAGATTCATGGTTGGACTGACGAGAGCGAGGGATAGGGAAAGTCTGCGAGAAAGCGCGAAAGAATGTAGGCCGAGCACTTTTTCCCTTGTTGCGAAAACGCAGAAGTGGATCTCGAGCCTGGGTGTTACATCTGGATGCCGAGCGGTTCCCCACGGCACCGCAGGAGCGAACGACGCCACGCACGCCGAGGCCTTTCTGCTGGGAGGGTCAGCCAGCGGAATGGACATCGGGACGAAGTTTACCCCTACGATGCTACCTGCCTCCTCCTGCCGCGCAAAAAAACATCTTTTGTGGAGGCGGCTGCGCTCTTCTGCCATGCCCGCCCGAGAGTTGGCGAGAGACCTGCCAGGGGGCAGCGGCGTGGTAATCGACGCTTGTGCTCCTCGTACTCTTTCTTCTAAGTTGCGCATGGTGTTCTGCTAAGATTCAGGAGCGAAAGAAGGACGTACACGTACATGAACCCACGCTGGTTTCGAGAGTTCGCCTTGCGCGAATGTTCGTATCACGCGGCCGGTCTCGCGGGTCAAGGGGCCGTGTTCATGTACATAGCTGGGCGCGTACGTCCTTTGTGGGTTCCCTAAAGATCTGGAAGGTGCATCACCGCCTGGACGTGGATGTGGTAGGAGAGCCCGTGGCGCAACGACGGCGCCACCTGTGGTAGGAAAGGTACGGGGACTTGCGCGATTCGGTGACGGCCTGGGGTGTCTACCCGTGAGCGCCACCCGTGCAGGGCAGGCAGAGTGGGAAAGCAACGATCCAGCAGGTTGCGAAGTGTGTGGTGAAGCCCATGGTGCAAGCTATCCCACAACCCATGGAAGTTAGCCCGGGTGGGGCAATCACGATTTGGTAGGACACGGGGTGTGCAGGGTGCCTGGCGCAACCTCTGTTTCAAGCGATCCAAGGTGTACATGTCACATATGCGAGAGGTCCAGGATCGGTGGTCGGGCCGGGCAGTTGGAACAAGATATGGGCTGCTGGCAGAGTGAAGGTGCAACAGGGTGAGGGGACCGCGATAGGACGTTGCGCGCATGGCGCAAGCTGTTGCGAAACCGATGGGGTGCAGGCATGGTGGGGTAAAGACAACTGGTAGGGCGCAGGGCGTTCGTCCCAACCTGCTGTGCAATTTGTGGCGCAACATATGGAAGAACAGGCGCGGCTGGGAGCTCGTAATCCTGCAGGGCCCGCACAGGGTTTCTGGCACAGCATTTGGTTCAACCAATGGCGAGAGCATGTGGAACGTAGACCGGAACGGATTCCTCACGATTCAGTAAGGCCTACCGTGTGTGTTGGGAAATTCGTGGCGCATCCTTTGGCGCAGTATGGTCGACAGAGTTGGAAAACCGAGATCCAGTAGGGCGCGGGTAGCTTGGCGCTGCCTGCGGCGCACCCAAAGGATGATTGACAGAGTGGTGAAAAGGCGGCTTGTTATGGCGCGGAGTGTCTGGCGCAATCGGTGGCTCAGCTTGTGGCGCAACTTCTGGAAGCAGACCGAGTGGAGGCATCCTAGCGCGGCAGGGCGCGCAGTGTCTGGCGCAACTCGCGGCGCAGCCCGTGGCACAATCTGGGTATAAGGTGCACGCGGCGGGGTGGGGCAGCGATTCGGTGTGGCGCGCCGTGCAATTTGTGGGCTCTGTGGCTCGACGCCTGCGGAAGAGGGAGCGCCCGCGATCCGGTAGGGGGCGGGGTGTCTGGCGCAGCCTGCCGCGCAGCACGTGGAAGGCATGCAGGGCGGGGGGGGATCGGGGTGCGGCGGTCGGGCTGGGATACCCTGCAGTCGAGCATCTGATTGAGAAGCCTCCTCCGGAGAAGCGGGGCCAGCGTTGCTCGGCCAACTTATGGTAAGGTTGGCCCAGTGTCTTGAGCACGTTCGCCCCTCCAGCGTTGACAACATGAGTTGGACCGCACTTGTTTCTCTGGGAAGCTGGCCCGGGCTTCTTGACCGATACTTTGTTTGATCGCATTTTCGGCTGTAGTGCAATTTGTGTGGTGATCTGTGGCGCAACTCATGGAAAGCACACAGACACGGTTGGCAATCGCGGAGGGTGTTTGGCGTAACCCGTGGCGCAACCCATCGAATATAGTTAAGTAGGTCGAGCGGGGACAGCGCGGTTCGGTGATCGGGCGGGGAAGATTGGAGCAGCCCATGACACATGCCATTTAGGGTCTCCACCGGTCTTACGCCCCCACGCTTTTCATCGTTTCATGGATAATGTTGGGGCTCAGGCTGGGCCCAGCACTTCGCGCAGAGGCAATTGTCCTTGGGGCTTTCCCGGGGCCGTGTCAAGGCTAGGCAATGTCGGAGCCATAGGCTTCAGAGGCTCACCGTACGCTGAAAAGACGATAAAGCGATCACCATCGAAGCATTTTAATTGTTTCGATGGTTTTGTTCTCTCAGTGGCACCCTGGGCGGTTTGACGTCTCGGGACCATGCTACAGACCAGTCTGGGCCATTCTGCGCTATCCTGAGGGCTGTTCTGTGGCAAGCTTGGGCAACGTTGACAGTTTGTCCACTCGCGACCTCCAGTTGGTCCAGCCCCCCCCCTGGTATGCGGGTTGGCTCAGGGGCACGAGAAAGTTTTACAAGGGCTACCAGGGTGCCGTGAACAGTCTACGTCCAGACCTGTGGGGTTCTCGGAACCAATCTGGGGACTGGAGGGGGAGGAGGAGGAGGAGGAGGAGGAGGAGGAGGAGGAGGAGGAGGAGGAGGAGGATGAGGAGGAGGAGGAGGAAGAGGGGGAGGGGGAGGAGGAGGAGGGGACTGAGGGGACTGATGACGCAGGCCCGTCCAGGGGCCTCTGGCACAGGAGGAGGAAGAGGAGGAGGAGGAGGAGGGGGAGGAGGAGGATGAGGGGAGGAGGAGGAGGAGGAGGAGGAGGTCGGAACCAGTCTGGGGACTGCCTGGGGGAGCTGTTGGTGCGCCACCCGACGCTGCTTGGGGCGGCTGCCCGTGCGCAGCCCGACGCTCTGCCACCCCCTCACCGTCTCGTTCCGTCCCGGCACGCGCGCAGACCGCCACCTCGAGGTTCTCCTCTCGGGGGGCGGCAAGGAGGGGGGTGAAGACTAAGGGGGGGGGTATATCATTAGGGGAACAAAAAGTAACATAAACATGAAATCTCGGAGGCCCGCGCGGATTTCTCGGATCGGCGCTGGGGACCCCCGGCGGCGCCTCCGGCGCCGCCCCTGGCGCACTCCGCGCGCCAGCGAGGGGGGTCCAGCGCCGATCCGAGAAATCCGCGCGGACCTTCGAGTTTTTATGTTTATGTCACTTTTCGTTCCCCTGATCATGGCGTGGGCCATGACATTTCCCCAGATCTCATGGCGCCTCTTCTGATTTCAACACGTCCCTGCCCCTATCCCCCCCCCTGGGCCGCGCACGTGCCGCCGGCCACGATTCGCGCCCCCCCCTCTTGGACGCCCCCCTCTTGGCCGACCCCGATCCTCCTGCCGCTTCTGTCGGGCGGGCCCTGGGTGAGGACATCACCGAGCGCGCTCCACTACTCGCAAAGTGCTCACTCGCAAACGTCCGAAGCACATGTCTGCATCGGTGCACCGTATCGTGAGCCCCCCATGCCGGCTCCAGGTCCTCTGCGAGCAGTTACTCTGCGAGTCGTGGAACGCGCTTGCCTACGATAGGTCGCTCCAGAGCGTTCTGCAACGCTCTCGGAGAGCGTTCTTCAGGAGGGGGAAAAACACACAGACACAATAATCGTCGACTCCCAGGAAAATATAGGAAAATATGGGAAGTGGGTTGGAAGACAAAAACCCAGAAAATGTGGGAAAATATGGGGGATCATTTTATTTGTGTGTATTTATTTGTGTCCTGGGCCCCTTCAGTTCTGGATCGCTGTGGGATGGCCCAGGCGCCCGACACGTCCTCCAAACATGCCAGCTAGATATAAGCTGGGCAGGTCCCTCTACCTTTGTGGGCCCCGGAAACTACGGCAGGGCCGTTCTTTCACCGCTTCCAAATAAATGCTTACTGAAAATGGAAACGGCAGAAAAACGGCGACCGGAAACGGCAACACAAACAGCTCCAGCATCGGAACTGGAGCCGGAACCGGTCAGACAACGGCGACGGAACCGGTAAAAAAACGGCGTCGGAACCGGCACAAAACGGCAAAACGGAACCGGTAAAAAAAAATGGCCCTGTCGTTTCCAGGGCCCACTAAGCCCTCTACAGGAGGAATGTTCAAGAATAGTTCAAGAAAGTAGTCGGGTGACGATGTTCCATGTTTTTTTTTTCAGTGGTTGTTTAGCAGTTTGACTATATTTTATTTTCCTTCCAGAATCTGCCTGTAGGGGGACATACCCGACCTAAAGCTAGATTCACGATTCATCCTCATCCGAATCTGTCCTCATCCTTCAGGGGCGACTGTGACGGGGGATAGGCTCAGTGGGGATGTATCGCGCCCCGATTGCCCATAGATCGCCGATGGTGCTTGATAGCCCACCCAACCGGGGAACCTGCGGTTTCGCTATCGAGGGTCTATCGCCGATCCGTCGGCGATGTATTGCCGAGTCGAGGTCGCTGCTCCGCCTCCCTGAGCCGGCCCCCCCTACCGCTCCCCGCTCCCCCTCGTGATCGTCCAACCCCATCGCATCCTCTTCGCCCTCTTGCTTCTCCTCCTCCTCATCCATGTTCACGTCCTCCTCTTGCCAGCTTTCCGAGGTCGAGGGCTGCCCGCTTCATCCTCTCTTCACGCCTGACACCTCCCTCCTCGCCCGATCGTCCCCCCTGATCCCCATGTCCGGACTGCTCGCGTAATCCTATCTCCTGGACTGCCCGTGTGACCGTCTTCTGATTGGCGATACAGTCGAAACCGATGATAAGGATGCGTGGAGTTCCCGAAGCTACTACTGTATCTTTTGGGGGGTCTCAATTTAACCACGTCCTGGTTGATCCAAAAGGGGTTCCAGCGAAGAGGGGGTGGTGCAATAGATTTGGTGCAATAGATTTGATGGGTTGCAATCGACTTGGGTGTGCAATACATTTCGGTGCGCAAATGTATTGCTAAATTTTCGCGTGCGATGCATTCATTGCAATATAATGCAACACAATACCCTGGCGCAATACATTTGCAAAACTATTGTCCCAAATCTATTGCACCGCCCCTTTTCAGATCGATCACCTTTTGGGTCTCGAGGGCACTTTCGATGGCGAGCCTCGCTCGAACAGCTTCGATATGGACCTCCAAGGGACTTGCATCTTTTCGCGCATTATTACTGTCAGTTTTCATTGTGCTCGGTGATGCAGAAGGCACACGTCGTAACAAGCACAAGAGCCCAATCATCGCCAAATGGCATGGGCTCAAAGGCGGCGTTGACGCTACAGATTCGCCGAGCCTCTACTCCAAAGATCCCCTCATCTTCCCTCCGTCTGACCCAAGACCCCCTTCCCGCCCCCACCTAGGGGAACAAACACTGACATAAACATAACAACTCGGAGGCCCGCACGGAGTTTCGGATTGGCGTTGGACCCCCGCCCTTGGCGCGCGGAGCGCTCCAGGGGGCCCCAGCGCCGAGCCAAAGAATTCGCGCGGACCTCCGAGTCTTATGTTATGCCATGATTTAATCCCCTACCCTCCGCTCCCAACCGCCATCGCGAGCCCGCGCGTGCGAGGGAGGCTACGATGTTGCAGTGCAGAGCAGAAAGGACTAGGAGGAGGAGGAGGAGGAGGAGGACAAGGAGACTCAAGCCCAATGAACTCCGCCGAAGAAAGGAGGGAGCCCCCCAGCAGCTAAAGAACGAAAGCGCAGCAGCCCCTTAGCCGCGTTGGGTGTCACCGCTCAGGGGGACCCCTGTGCGCGGGTGACACTTGCCCTTACGATATTTAAGAGCCGTCGCCCTGATCCTCTTTCTTCCTTTCGCCCTCGCCCTCGTCAGCACCACCCCGCTGCGCGTGCATTGTGGCTCAGCGGCCAGGCGCGCGCCCATGCTCCGCCGTGGCTCTCCAAGTTGCCGATCTCCCGACGGCTCCGCCTCGAGGGGGGCGGAATGGCGCTGCTCCGCTAGGCCCCAACCGGGAGCTGAGAGACTCCTTCCTTCTCCTCCTCCTGCTTTCTTCCTCCTCCGTTTCCTTTCCTTTCCTGCAGTCTTTTTCCTTATACATAACTTCTCCCCGTCTCACCCGAGGCAAGCTTTCAGGGCCGGCCAGGCGTTTCGCCTGAGACTTCCTCACCATTTATGATCCGGAAGCCTTGGAATTGGCAGCAGCTTCCCAGTTGGAGGGCGGGTCGTTTTCAAAGAGTGGCTCTCGCCTTAACGCCGCGTGCATTCGCTCTACAAATTTGCAAGAGCTTCACGGATTGAGGGCGAGTCGTTTTCAACATGTGGTTCTCTCCCTAGCGCCGCGCACATTCGTTCTATAAAGTTGCAAGAGCTTCACGGATTGGGGGCGGCTCCTTTTCAAAATGTGGTTCTCGCTTTAGTGCCGCGCACATCCTTTTAAAATATTGCAAGAGTTGCACGGGATGAGGGTGGTTCCTTTTCAAAATGTGGTTCTCGCCTTAGCGCCGCGCACATAATCTGCGTACCAGAAATGGCGCTGTGGAAGCATTCGGGATTATGCGAGTGCAACAGTAAGTTGGTTCGCCGTGTTGAAGTCCGAGGAATGGCGTTCTGGCAAGGTTCAGGATCGTCAAGACGCAACAGTCAGGTTGATCTGTGACGTTGTAATCCCGTGAACGATGTTTACGCACGCTTCAGGGTCTTCAAACGGTTGTCTTCCAAC